TGGTCACAAAAAGTATGGTAATCTGCCACCAAAATTTATTTTGGTCACGGATGATGGTGTTTTAGTGACCAACATTTTTTTGGTGGCTAATAGTTAAGTATTTGTGACCAAATACAAAATGTGGTCGCCAAAAGTGATGGCGGGAGGGCGAAATAAAAAGGGCGGGACATCAATCTTTTGGCTACCAGTAGATTTTGGTCACAAAAATGAAAAATGATACACACTACGTCGTTTTGAAATTCTTAAATAAAAAATATGTTTCTGAGCCTTGATCTTCCCTCATTGTTGCCCTCTTCCTTCCCTCATTGTTGCCCTCTTCCTTAATAAAAAAAAGTTTCCTGTTTCCTTGAGCTTCCGATCGGTTCATCAAACCCTACCCACCATCTCCTCACTTCGTCCCCTGGGTTTGCCGCTCTTCATCTTTGCCTCCACCTTGTACTTACCAGGTTAGTGTCTCTCTCTCTCTCAATCTCTCTCTCTGTTCATGTATGTATATATATAATCGATTGATTGACCATTCTTTTTCATCGTTGCAACTCCTCACTTCCGATCTGTTCATGTCTATATCTATGTCTATGTCTATATCTATATCTCTATTATTTGAGTTTCATATATACTTGCTGATTTTTTTTTTAATCTCTATCATTTGATTTTCATACATAGAATTTCTGATTGATTTGTAATCGATCTGTGCTTCTCTCTCATTTTTCTTTGATTTTCATACTTCCTTTTTTTTTTCTGAAAATTTTCTCCTCTGTTTGTTATTTTTTTCTTTTTTCTTTTTGAAACAATTTTAATTTTTGAGTTAATTACACTTTTCACCTTCTAGTTTGATCTAAATTTTACTTTAGTTCCTATAATTTCAATTTGAACAATTTGGTCTTTATATTTTAAATTTAGCTTCAATTTGGTCCTTTTGTCTTAATTGGAGGTTTTAACAATTTTAGAATACTTGTCAACTTTTTAATGTTTCAATTTGGTTGTTCCATCTAAATTAGATGTTAAAATTAACAAATTTGAGACCCTTGCTAATTTTTTATTTTTTCAATTTGACTCTTCTCTTCCATCTAAATTGAAAGTTAAAATTAATAATTTTGGGACACTTGTTAATTTTCTAAGGTGTATACGTAGACAAAATTAACAAAAATTTAGATAGGAGAACCGAACTAGACTTAAATTATAGAGAACAAATTATTCAAATTAAAACAATAGAGGAGACTAAAGTAAAATTTGGGTAAAACTGCAGCGTAAAAAGTGTAATTAACCCTTAATTTTTTAGAAAGGATAAAGAATTTATTTGACGAATTATTTTTAAAAAACACCTATGATATTCATTTTTTAAGAAGCACAAAAAAGTTAGGAAAGCAAATTTTGTACAAAAATAAAAATGATAAGAAAATAATAGAGTTTTTTGAAATTATTTTTGTTATTTTTTTTATTCCAAAAATATGAAAAACAAAAACAAAATAAACGAAAACACTGCCAAACAAACTCGAATTATTGGTGGGAATTTTCCCTTACTCTATATGTCTTAACACCTACTACCAGATGGGGCAGTAACTTAGATTGGTTATTATACCTAAAATTGGTTATAATCAATAACTTAGATAATTAGTTTAAATCCAACTGTTGAAAATAGAGAGGTGTGAACCATTTGATCATAAGTCTGTAATCAATATTTTTATAGAAAACACCCAAATAAATAGTATTTAATTTTGATTTGACAATTTACTATAAACTCGTTCTAAACTCGACTTGTTACATGGGAATTCTAGGTAAGGATATGAAGTATGGACAATGACATTTCGTTGTAAACATATGGGAATTTTAGGTGAGTATAATTGACAATTAAGAGTATGGAGGGACAGATAAGTCCTTTTATAAGTGCTCAAAATGCAGTGTTGCATTCATATTAAAGGAAGTCTCAAACAATTATTTCATTATATACATATAGGAATTTTAGGCGAGGATGTGAACAATGACATTTTATTATAACCGATGATCAAGAGTTACTCTAGGGACATATTAGTCTTATTTATAGAAGTCCACTGAATACATTGTTGCATTCATACTGGAGTAGTGATCAATCTTTGAAAAAAAGTACTACCCAAGTAGTGCTTGTGACAAATTCCAAAGATTTTCCCTGAACCCAAACATGTGCAAGTGAATTTAAAAAAAGAAAAAAGAAAAGAAAAAAAAGTAGATGAATAGAGAAGGAGAAGATTACAGTGTCTATCAAGAACCTAAGTATAGTGTTTGTGAGAAATTCCAAATATTTTCCTTGAACCCAAACACATGCAGGTGTTCTCAGGAAAATATTAAAGATATATGTGATGAGATATCTTCGCCTGTATAAGATTTTATTTTATTTTATTTTGTTTTGGGTGGGAATTTTAGAAAAACCATCATCTCTAGTTGAACAAACAAACACTAGGAGAAACTGAAAGAAATATAGTACCCCATGGTAGTTAGGCCAATGAATCTATAGTAGGAAATCAAAGTCAAAAACTTGAAAAAGCTTATCTCGTTTACCTAATTGTTGTTATTAATTTGATTTCCACCAAACATCATATATCATCATTTAATCCGCTCATCAAAATGCAACATTAATCTTTTAACAATTTAATAATTAGATGTTTTTAATTTATTTAACTTATTCTTACCTCCTATGTTGTAAAAAAAAATTATCACTTCGATAATTTCTTTAAAAAAAAAAAAGCAAATAATCCTATAAATTGTACACAACAAATAATTTATTTGACAAGTCTATAAGATGAAGATATGGTTCATTCAATATATCTGTACACTTTATTAAAAAGCATTCCCACCATTCCTTTCTTATGTATATATTGGATATTCTCTTTTCTCTCTCCCTATTGGATATCCATAGTGTTGGTCCTAGATGATCCTTTTTGCACTATAAAAATGTTTTAAGATGTCTCTGTTTTAAAATGTTTTAAACAAATATTTTAGTTTGGTATTTGATTTATTAGACTGATTAATTTAAAGAATCAAGTTCATGGATCCCATTTGTGTGGATCTCTTTTCTATTGGCAACTATTTCCCATTGGGCAGTGGCGAAATCTTCAATAACTAGATCGCGGGTGTTGGTTAACTTGATTGATGATTGCCTATCAACCACCAATTTAATATTAAAAATAAAAAATGAGATAGAAACCGATCTTGTCTTCCATTCTGTTTGTTTTCTTGCAATAGATATATATTTTGGGAAATAACAATTCAGGATATATTTTGAACGTTAATTACAAATCTGTCAAATATATGATGCAGATGAGCATTCATTATGACTTTAATTGTATTAGGTGGTGATGCAGATTATAGAATGATGATTCCCTTAAAATTTTAATCTGTAAACTATTTTTTATTTTTTTAAAGTAGAAAATATTATTTTTTCAGTTAATATAATTTGGTTCTTTGTGCTGTAGCAGCAGCTTCATGCTGCAGCAGCAACTTCCTGTTGGTTCTTAATATTTTTTTTCTTCTTTTCTTGGCAGCAGCAGTAGTGTTCAATATTATGCTTATTGAATACTAAAACAACCATAATGGAATCAATAACTATTATAGTTGAATAATATAGGAAGGAATGTGAGATTTGATGCTTGCCTAAAGCGTATAAATAACTTTTTCACCTTATAACAAAATTAACCTCCAAAATAGGAATAAAATTCATTTTTAGTTAATTGGTTTTTGCTTTATTCACCTAACATAATCTTCACTTTGTAGGTCACCAAATATGGACAAGAGTTGGATGTCAATTAGGAATAGATTGAGTTCGGAGTATAGAGAAGGGGTTAAGTCATTTCTCCAATTTACAATGACAAATGTTGGCGTAGATAATAGAATTCGTTGTCCGTGTATGGATTGCCTAAATTTTCAACATCATACCTTTAAGGATGTGGAATATCATTTGATCCGAAAAGGGATATCACTTTCATACAAGACTTGGGTGCACCATGGGGAAACTGTTTTTGTCAATCAACCTCGTGTGTGGAATAATGACAATGACATTGAAGGTGTTGGTGATGAAGGGACAACCAATGAATGCCTTCACGTTGAAGATGAATTGTATGATATGTTAGATGACTGTCACATGGCGCATATTTTTGATGATGATGAAGAGGGTGAGTAGAATGATAATGAGCAAAGAGAAGATGGACGAAACTTTGATAAATTGTTAGAGGATGCTCGTCGTCCATTATACCTTGGCTGTCAGAAGTTTACTTTGTTATCATTTGTCGTTAAGATGCTTCACATAAAAGTTTTAAACAAGTGGAGCAATAAGTCTTTTGACATGTTGTTAGGCGTATTGAAAGACCTTTTACCAGAAAGTGATCAAAAGGTTCCATGGACCCTTTATGAAGCGAAGAAATTTTTACGTGATTTGGGTTTAGGATATGTGCCTATTCATGCATGTAAGTATGATTGTGCTCTTTTTTGGAAGGAAAATGCAAATTTAGAAAATTGTTCGATTTGTAAGGAGCCTAGATAAAAAATGAATGATGGCAAAGGTAAGAAGATACCTCATAAAATTTTGAGATATTTTCCGTTGACACCAAGGTTGCAAAGATTATACATGTCGAGAAAAACAGCTGGAGATATGCGATGGCATAAAGAAAAACGTGTTGATGATGGCATCTTAAGGCATCCAGCCGATGGTGAGGCGTGGAAGGATTTTGATAGGCAACATGCTGTGTTTGCCCAAGAACCACGTAATGTGAGGTTAGGGTTGGCCACCGATGGTTTCAACCCTTTTGGAAATTTGAGCAACTCATATAGTATGTGGCCTGTGGTAGTTATGCCTTATAACCTACCACCGTGGAAGTGTATGAAGCAACCATTTTCCATGATCTCATTGCTTATTCCTGGACCGCAAGCACCCGGGAGAGATATTGATGTTTACTTGAGGCCATTAATTGACGAGTTGAAGGAGTTATGGCCATGATTGCCATGTCCTTATACAACGACTTCTTCCTATTGGAATGCGTGGGTATCTTAACAAGGACATTTCTATTGCATTGTTTGAGTTGGGAAATTACTTTCAACAGTTATGTTCAAAAACAGTGAGGGTGAATGATTTGGAAAAATTACAAGAGAGCATAGTACTCATACTTTGCAAGCTAGAAAAAATTTTTCCACCTGCATTCTTTGATGTGATGGTTCACTTAGCTATTCACTTGCCTCGCGAAGCCATTCTTGGAGGGCCAGTGCAATATCGATGGATGTACCCTATCGAAAGGTATTTTTATGCTCTTTGATGTGAAATTATATTTTTTTTAATATTATAGTATACCCATATATATGGTTTATATAATAATTTCCTATTATTTGTTGAAGATTACTCGGGATTTTGAAAGGGTATGTAGCAAATCGAGCTCACCCAGAAGGTTCAATTGCAGAAGCTTACATTGTCAAAGAATGCCTAACTTTTTGCTCTATGTATCTTGGTGGGATTGAAACCGTATTTAACAGAGAGGAAAGAAATGAAGATGGTGGTGATGTTGGCTCAGGGCATTCAGTTTTTTCACAAAAAGTCCGTACTTTTGGGCTCACTCAAAGGGCAGTTGACGTGTCTGAGAATGAAAGAAAAGTGGCTCATTGGTTTATCTTGTATAATAGTCCTGAAATTGATGAATATCTAGAGTATGTTCTCATTTAGTTAAGTCTATGCAAAATGCTTTTCATTATGATCACACTCAAGTACTAATTATTCACATTTGATTTTTCAAGTAGAGAACACAAGAATCAGTTACAAAATGCAAATGTACATGACATTACAAGACAACAACAAGAAGAATTTCCTAGGTGGTTCAAAGAGCGGGTAATATATAAGATACATAGATAATATGTAACCTCTCATCATAAACATAATTCACTGTTCGTAGATTGATATTAACATCATGCATCCTTGTCACATGTTCATGTAGATAAATCAATTACGAGCTGAAGGATCATCGGGAGCAACTGATGAGTTGTGGTCATTAGCTAATGGTCCTAGTCCAATAGTGAATATTTATTCAGGTTGTATTTGTAATGGCATTCGATTCCACACGAAAGAGCGAGACAACCGTCATAAAAGTCAAAATAGTGGGTTGGTTGTTCAAGGGGATCATCATGGTATGTCAATTGATTTCTATGGTCAGTTGACTAAAGTTTGGGAAATACATACATGTTCGGGCATCGAGTTGTGTTATTTCAATGCGAATGGTTTAACACTGGTAGCAACAGAACATTTCGCACTGAAACACATTTGACAACCATTGATGTAAGAAGCCGTTGGTATCAAAATGACCCATTTGTCTTGCCAAGCCAGGTGCAACAAGTTTTTTATGTCAATGATACCAAATTAGGTGAACATTGGAAAGTCGTAGAGTGATTTCAACGTCGAGGAATATGGAATGTGCCGGAGCTTGAGGATGTAGATCCCGATGATAATGAATTGCCTATTCCGAATGATGTGTTCCAGCAGGACGAGACCACTGAAATTGTCCAAATCAGCATTGCAGATTCCATTAGCAACACTTTACGTAGGACTGATATTGCACCTGATATTATTCCAAGTCAAGTGGTTCTGCAATCTAGTACAAGTGTACATGTAGAGGGTCCAAACAGAGATGATTTTATCTATGATGATAATGATCAACATTCAAATGATCCTAGTGATGATGAAGATGAATTTCATAGTCATAGTAACTCGGATACAAATGATGATATAGAGCCTTGATTGTAATATCCTTTATTTTTTGCATTATCAAGTCATTTTCATTGTAATGCTCTTGATTGTAATGGCATGCACTTGTTAATGAAGACATGTTTAGTTACAACAAGTCTGGAATGTTGTACCTATTGCTTCATTGTGGTCCATTTGGAAACATCGGAATCTGTCTGAATCTGTTTATTAATCTGAAATGTTGGTGATGCTGTCTGAATCTGTCTGAATCTGTCTGAATCTGTGTATTAATCTGAATCTGCTGAATCTGTTTTGAATCTGCTGGTGTAATGCTGAAATGTGGCTGCTGCTGGTGTAATGTTGAATCTGTTTTGAATATGTTTTTTTTCTCTTCTTGTTGGTTTCTCACCAACGGTTATATTACTAGCGGATGTTTGGGCTAGCTCATTGGCGCCAAGTTTGTTTGGTTTTAATAGCTATGCTCCTGATGTATTTGTGTTCATTATATATAATCTTATTTTGTTTGTTGATAAAAAAAATGAAGACATGTTTAGTGATGATTCAAATTGTAATGAATTTTTTTGTTGATAATTTCTTGACTTGTAATGTGGTTCTAATATTACACTATTAGGTTATCTTATAATTTCATAAATTGTCATGCATTTTAAATTTTTACTTTTGGTTGCTTACAATTCATTTGTTAGATTCAAAGACTACACAGATGCCACATGGGCAAGCCACTAAGAGGAGGTCGACGACCTCAATGTCAGAGGCAAACCTGGTTGAGCTCCCAGCTGCATCTCCTGTGGATGCATTTGCAAGTCTATCTCCTGTGGATGCATCTCTATCTTCGCAAACAGTTGATATTGGTAAGTGTTTCATCCTTTGTATAGAACAATTTGTTTTTTGCTCCTGAAACTGTAATCAATGTTGAGTAGTTACTACATGCTTACTCTTTTTTGAGTGATTATGATTAAAAATTTGTTAGTATTGAAGTATGACTCTGTGAGAGACAATCTGTGAGAGACAATAAAAAAGAGACCTTTTAAGATGGAATACCTGGATCATCCATGTGAGATAGTAACCAATTCATTGCCTCTTCCACCCCAGCATTTGAGGTGTTGATAGCAGCTTTTTGACAATGAAGATAATTAAACCCCACTGATGCAAGTTGGGATACTATACCCTCATCAGCCAAAATCTTTTTTGGTTCTGCCACATCCACAGCGGCTGTGCAATATAAAAGGTAGATGATCAGTTGTCCATAATGCCAGGTATAATGCCCGAAATGCCTACAGAAACTTTTCATTGAATGAAATCAGGAATTGAGACGTAGCAAAATATCAAAGAAAGAATTGTAGGCACCTTTTGGGTCGCAAGGTGAGAAGAAATGAAATAATTACGTCTCTGACCAAGGTAAGAAGAAAAATGATTGTGGTTTTTCATTATCTTGGATGAACAATAATAAAAGAGGACACATGTGCCTTTTAATTTTACTTACTTTGTATTGAGGGGGATATTTTAGGTATTATAAGCATGTTACAAAGGGTAATTTTCGTTTCTCACCACTTTTGGTGAGAAACAAAACATGAGTCTTAAGGGACATCTCCTCCTTTCTTGCCATTTCTCATGTCCATAATCATCTAAACAAGTTATGAGAGCCCTCTCCATCTCAAAGTAGGTGATTGTACACGACATGAGAAGTGTACTTTAATTGAACACAAAACTACAAAGTAATTTTGGGCAGATAGGACCAAAATGCCACCTTTCCAAATTATAGTTGGGAACTGTACCACATGGCTCATCACTAGAAAAACATATTTAATATTCACAAGTTGTACAAATGTACTGATAGCACTTAGCGAAACATATATTTTGCCTACATATAAACAAAAAGACAAATCTGTCTTCTTTTTTAAGCCTTCATATATCAGTCCATGGAAGTATTGTAAGGACTAGGGTTTCACATTTGTTGATTCTCTTTCATGTATCTATCATTTGTTTTCAATTTTCCAATGAGTAATTAATGGAATCTCTCTGTGCCCAACATCAGCCGTGTGATTGTCTCATTTTCTTAGAGAATGGCAGGTCGATGGAGGCATAAATTTTCACAAATCATCTTTTCACACTGCAAATGATTTAATTGACTTTAATAGTTGAAACTGTAGAATAAATCTGATTTTCGTACATATTATTAGATGATTTAGATGTAACCAATCATCCTGTCCTGTCCTGTTCTAAAGCGACATTACAATAATTTCCTAATTGCTGGATTGTATCAGTTGAAAATTACTAAAGAATAGCCAATTCCATGTACCTGAGCTGATGCTGCATAATTGGTTTTTGGCCTATATATGATGCTGGGCCTTTTCGAGTAGTTGGTTTTACTATTTTTTTTTTCCTCATCGATCAAGCAATCATACAATATTTACAACTTCGAATTATTTGCTGAAAACTAAAGCTGTAACATTCTACTAGTTGGTTTTGCTTGTGTAAGTTTGCCATGGATTTGACTGGTATGAATCATACTTAGCCCATGTTTGTTTCCAATCTATATCGATGGAAACCAGATGGATTTGTTTTAGGGACGGAGCCAGGATTTTTGATCCCTTGAGGCAAAAAACATGCATCAAATTATGTTCAGTCATCTTATCTTAGACATAGTAATCTTATAATCATGAACATGACATAATAGCAAGCTTGAATAAAGGCATATACATTCCATGATGCTTTAAACTTGAGAGTTCTTAAAATCTACAGCAACCTATATAGCAGCAGCAACAGCAACCTATATACATTATATGACACATAGTTCACATATGCTATTTAAAGAGAGTTCTTAAAATCTGCTCTGTATATACAGCAACAGCAACCTATTTAGCAGCAGCCTATAATAGTGTTTCATTTTGTGTTTATAATATAGGTCCATCTGTAAAGCATGTGATGCAGAGGTTAAGGGCCTTAAAGAAGAGGTAGCATCACTGAAAGGGATAATTCAATCATATGAAGGACACTTTGAGCAGTTTGAACACTTTATGAGACAAATGCAGGGCAATGGTAGTGGATACGACTCTTTTGATGAGTAAGTACTATTGCTTTTGATGGTTTGTGAATACTTCTGGGATTTGCTTCAATTTATCAGCTCATAGATCTGATTTTGACAGTTGATCTATGACTGTCGTGTTGGCATCCATTCATATGATGGTCTAATATTGATTTGATTGGTTTCATAGGTTAATTTCATTCGGATTTAGGTACATAGTTGGATGGTTGAGGGACATAGGTTGAGGTGCCTTATTTTCAGTACATGACTTGGTATTAAATTATTGGATTTAGGTACATAGTTACATAGTTACATTTCTATGACTGTCTTGTTAACAGAATATTCTATTTACAATCTATACATGGATAATAATTCTATTTACATAGTTAGGGATTGAACTAGTGATGGAGGAGATAATACACGAACTGTAAGGATGGTAATAATGTGGTGGTGTTGTGGTTTTTTTTTTTATTTTTTATTTAGAAATGTAAACAAATATATTATTATTAACAACGCTTTCTTCAATTTTTTTTTTTTTTATTGCAGGTAGCTAGCTAGAGGCGTAGTCATGCATGTTTATGGATCTGAGTTTGCCGATGCATTAATTCTAAGTTGTGCATATATATATGTGGAGTTTTTGAGATACTTCGCATCGGACAAATATGACATGCATTTGAAATCTTTGATGTTTTGTTAAATATTTTTTGATGTGGTGAATTTATTGTAAGGATGGATGGATGGATTTTTTCAAGACCTCACATTGGAGTAAGAAAAAAAAAGATTGGATTGAACCAGTTTGTGCGGAGTTATATGTAAGTATACCTTCATTATATTTGTTATTCATAGTCCTATATAATGCTTAACTAGTTAGTGTACTTGTAAAATAGGATAACTGTTGATCCTTTTTCTTTTTTTCTTTTCTTTTCTTTTCTTTTTTTAACACAAATAGGAAAAGATGGACCAACTTCGTGAGGAATCTTCACAGCCTGGAGCAACCCCGCTAACACAGGAGGAAATTACTGTTCAAGTCCTTGGGAAGCGTTCAGGGTATTTGAGAGGTTTCGGGGTTGGTCCAAAGCCGTCTTCTGCATTCAATTCTACAACTAGGTCACAAGCACGTGATGCAGAGGTTAAGGGCCTTAAAGAAGAGGTAGCATCACTGAAAGGGATAATTCAATCATATGAAGGACGCTTTGAGCAGTTTGAACACTTTATGAGACAAATGCAGGGCAATGGTAGTGGATACGACTCTTTTGATGAGTAAGTACTATTGCTTTTGATGGTTTGTGAATACTTCTGGGATTTGCTTCAATTTATCAGCTCATAGATCTGATTTTGACAGTTGATCTATGACTGTCGTGTTGGCATCCATTCATATGATGGTCTAATATTGATTTGATTGGTTTCATAGGTTAATTTCATTCGGATTTAGGTACATAGTTGGATGGTTGGGGGACATAGGTTGAGGTGCCTTATTTTCAGTACATGAGTTGGTATTAAATTATTGGATTTAGGTACATAGTTACATAGTTACATTTCTATGACTGTCTTGTTAGCTTGTTTGGTTCAAGAGGCTTTATCTTGTTAAAGGCTACTTTATGTAAAGGTAAAGTTAAGAGGTACTATGTGTATAAAGGAGTAGGTGGTGTTTGCAGATGATGGTGTGTTTTTCTAATATTAGTTAATTGGTTTGTGTTGCTTTGGATTGCTGGTTGTTTGTTTTTTTTTTCTCTGTTGGTTTCTCACTAACTATTGAAGCTTGTGTTGGGGAAAGACATGGCTGAGAATCCTGAATGTCCACACACAAATAAATAAATACATTGTATCTCTCCTGAAAATTTGAGAAATTATAATTTACTCTCAATGTTTGGCAAAATTACACTATGTTTTCATAATATTTTGATTCACATTACAGTTGTCCCCACAATGTTGACTTAACAGAATATTCTACTTACAATCTATACATGGATAATAATTCTATTTACATAGTTAGGGATTGAACTAGTGATGGAGGAGATAATACACGAAATACACGAACTGTAAGGATGGTAATAATGTGGTGGTGTTGTGGTTTTTATTTTTTATTTTTTATTTAGAAATGTAAACAAATATATTATTATTAACAACGCTTTCTTCAAAAAAATTTTTTTTTTTTATTGCAGGTAGCTAGCTAGCTAGAGGCGTAGTCATGCATGTTTATGGATCTGAGTTTGCCGATGCATTAATTCTAAGTTGTGCATATATATATGTGGAGTTTTTGAGATACTTCGCATCGGACAAATATGACATGCATTTGAAATCTTTGATGTTTTGTTAAATATTTTTTGATGTGGTGAATTTATTGTAAGGATGGATGGTTATTTTGGGCGTGTAATGTGTTGATATTGACAGGTGGTTGTAAATAAATTAATTACTATTTTGACTTTATAATTGATGGCTTTTTTGATTTTTGATGTGAATTTATTGTAAGGACGGATGGTTATTTTAGGCATGTAATGTGTTGATATTGACTGGTGGTTGTAAATATATTAATTATTATTTTGACTTTATAATTGATGGTTTTTTTTTTTTAGATTGGATTGGTATATTAAAATTGATTGGATGGACATGAATTATGTATTAATTGAAAATGTATTATAGGTATTACAAAAAATTTAGCATTATATTTAAAAGAATCAATTTTGAAATTAAAAGTTTTTTTGCGACCAATATGTTTTTAGTCGCAATAAGGTTCTAGGAATTGCTAAATACACCCTTTCTGTGACCAACAAGATTCTGGTCGCCAAAAGTCCACTTTTCGCGACTAACACCTTCGTCGCCAATATTCACTTTCTGCGACTAGAATTATTCTAGTCGCCAAAAGTCAACTTTTCGCGACCAAAATCTTTGTCGCCAATGCTCAATTTTTTGCGACTAGAATTATTCTGGTCGCCAAAAGTCCACTTTTCGCGACCAAGAACTTCGTCGCAAATGCTCACTTTCTGTGACTAGAATTATTCTGGTAGCCAAAAGTTCACTTTCTGCGACCAATATTTTTGTCACAAATGGTTATCTTTCAGCGACCAAAATAGATGGTCGCTAAAAGCTAACTTTTAGCGACCAAATTTTTAGTTGCAATAGGTTGAATTTTGACAAATTCAAGTCCCTTCCGCGACCAAAGAAAGTTGTCGCAAATGATGATTTTCCGCGACCAACTTCACTTTTGGTCTCCAAAAACCTTCTGTGACGGACTTTTGGCGACCAAATTGCGACCAACTTTTTTTGGTCGCTAAAAACTATTAGCGACCAGATTTGACCTTTCTGCGACCAGAAATGTTGGTCACGAAAAGTGTTTTTTCCTGTAGTGACGATGAGCTAACAATCTCGGGTGATGGGGAAGAAGATGAGATGGAAAGTAATTTTGATACAGATACAGACCTAGAGTTTTAACTCAGTTTGTTTCTTTGTTTGGCTTGTTTTGTTGATGTAATGGGGGCAATTAAGAATATGGATGAACCTTGTAATTTGAATTTCATGCCTACTCTTGGTTCTTCAGTAAATTAGCTTCAAATGTGAGTAGACTAATTATGTCTTGATTCTTCTTCTTCTTTTTCTTCTTCTTCTTCTTCTTGTTCAGACCCCAATTTAATACCCTTGTAATTAATTTCCTCTACAATTTCTATGAACTTTGGCAGAAAATTGAAAATCAAATTCATACTTAGTTCAGATTTTCCATTCGGACAGCTGTGCTGTTTGGCTGATTTTCCCACAATCTGTGCCAGATTTGCATATCTGCTTTGTCTCTGTTTGCTGACTTGGACAGTTCGCTGTTGTTTTTGTCCACTTTGGCTGCTTGATGCTTGACTGCTATGCTTAGGTGCTAGCTAATGGTAGGATGGTTGGTTGGCTGAGGTGGGATGTTGTCTTGATTGCTTAAATGTATTCATGCTGCTTTGGTGAGGCCTTGTTTTGTTGTTTTGTGTGCTGCTGTTTGGTTGTTAATCGGTTTGGTTGTTATTCATGTTGTGTTGGTCACTAATGGTCAATTTTCTTACTGTCACTAATCATGAAATCTTTATGTGCCAGGTCTCCTATGTTTTAGATACGGAAGACTATTTCTTCGGCTTGAAAAGGAGAAGGAATTTGTCAACTGGCAGATCGCCATGCCATTATCAAACAAGAATAGAGTGTTTTCACAAATTTTTAACATCCTTTTAATAATAATGCCTTTTAATTGCTGAAGGTAGATATGAGCTTTCCTTTGTCTACTGGTTTTATTTATCAAATTAGATCGGATTATTCCAATGATATTTTATGTTTATTGTCACAGGCATGACCAAACAACATGTTTGTTGCATTCTGCATTCACTGAAATAGCCAAACAAAGACTCAGACAAAGGGTATGGCTCTGAATCTACTATTTCATACACTTATTTGGGGGCATTAATGTTCTATAAATAGGTTGATCCATAATGTTACTGTACAGTTGTGTGTACACTTATTTGTTCTCTGCTTCATATAACTTTTGTATTTATTTATTTTATTTTAATGGTGCCTATTGGTGGCACCAAGTTCTGTAGTAGCACAAATTTGTAAGATTATGTAATTTAAAAGTGATTAAATAGGGAGAAAATGAATATACCATAAGAGCTTTACATTTGAAACTTGCATCATCATTTCTTAACTCTTATGAATTTGAATATGGTGGCATATCTTGATATTTGCTTTTCAGCATTTGGACCTCTGGTTTATCAAATTTTAAACTTGAGTGTGTTTGTATTTTGAATTTATGGAGGAAAAAGAATGAGGAAGAAATTCGTAGGGGCAAATTTTTTTACCTTCTATTTGGTCTAAAAGTTGAATAGTTTTTTACCTTCTATTCGTAATTGTTGTGGTTTTCCTCTGGTTCTTGTGCTTTCATCGTGAGCCAGCATTAAGTACATATTCTGCAGATGACAATGAGAAGTTACAACCTAATATTCGTTAATCTTAGTAATTCCAAAATAGTTTGTTTGCCTACTCATACTTTGTGATAATGCTATTAGCTTTAAATATATTTTCCATACAATCTAAGTTGGTTAAATTCACATACTCATAATTAAATGGTCCGTAATATGCAGACACTGGCTGCAGCATCAAGAACTGTTGATTGTCTTAAGGTAGTTCATAGTTTGCATTGCTACTTCCTTCTTGTTGGGGATTTTGACCGTAAGTATATTTTCAGTGTTTTAACTGGAGTGAACAGCTACTTACATTTGCAGTTGCTATGTTTTTATTTTTTATTTTTATTATTCTGATGATGTATGTGGATTATAATGTCCTAATTTTGAGTGAAAAGTATATTAATTGGGAACCTTGTATTGATTGGGATAAAAGCATTATGCCCAAGAACAAATATTTGTTCTTAGACATTGGCAGTTTAGATTTTTTATTTATTTATTTATTTTTTATTTTTATTTTTATTTTTTTTATAATGGACGATCTAAATTGTAACACATCACAACTACGGTTTACGAGGAGATAGAATAGCCAATTCTTGATTTCTTGATTCCATTATGCCCTTGTCAAATCCATAAATTCTCTTGAAGCCAAGTATTGCCTTAAACATGTCATAGTAAGTAATCTTAGAATCCCTGCAAGTTTTCCTAGTGCTATGTGTGAAAAATCAGGAACTATAGATTGTGAGGTGAATGCTTTTGAAGAAAAGAACAAAAAGTTCATATTGTATGTGGCCTTTGGTAAATTCAGGTATCCTACTTATGTCTATATGCTAAGAAGCATGAACGTGTTTGTGTCAGATATGTGTCGAACTTCCAAATACTTGTTAGATACGTGTCGGACTTCCAAATACTTGTCAGATACACATCCAAAATGTGTGTCATTATTTTTTTTAACTTTTAACCTTTAACTTGTCATGCAATATAAAAGAAAAACAATGTAGCTTTATATCTATTAATCTCTCTTTCCACCTTTTGATTTTAGGAATTATTATGTTGTGTTTTTTGAATTCTTATTGAATGGTATATTCGTATATGTGGCATATGATAAATATACAAAACTATATATTTTGTGTGTCCCCCATAGATGGTACAAGACGTATGATTGAACAAAGCCATGATTAACGAGCAATTTATTAATGAGTAGACGTTGTGTCATTATTGCAGCAGTTACACTACTAATGTATGCGATGTTTATTACTCATGTACGTTTGTTACGTAATGTAGTTACAATGGTTCCTGGAATCAAGACGGAGCGACGGAAGAGAGCAACAAGTGGCAACGTACTATCAACCTCTGAAGCATGTGCACAGGAGATTGGCACCCCGATGACGTTCTTTGATGAGACGCAACCACCAGATGATACATAAACAGTGGTGGAGGAGACGCAGCCAGGTGGAGTGGGTAAGAGCATGCTATTTAGTTGTTTAAAAAAAAATTGGTTTTTTTTTTTGGGGGGTGCATAAGTCATCAAGTAAAGCAATGAAAACCCCATAAAGACAAATAAAAACAAAGGAAAAAAAACTAAACATTACTTTACACATAACAAGGACACTTACACAACAAATAAAATATTAGGTACACAACCTTCAAATCAGCTACAACTGTAGCAACAACGAATTTACCAAGACTTTATGCATAATTTACCAAGTCTTTATCCAAGTCGTAGCATAATTTACCAAGATTTTATGCAGCCAAACAGTAGCTGGCAACAACAGTAGGTAGCAAAAAAAGTAACAGGACCAGGAAGTAGCACTTTTTTTTTTTGTAGTCCATTAGCAATGTTTGTAATTTTGACTACCTTCCCCTTTTGTACCAGGGCAAACGAGGTCAACTCGTGTTCGAGGACCTACATTAGGCAAAGGCGTGCAGAAAAAAATTGCTAGGAAAAAAGGGGAGAAATTACATGTCTATGTTAATCGGGTGTTGAACTCAATCACATGAGGGAATGCCACCCCAGCGACGAATGGGTTTGGCCTTCAAATTAGATGGTTGTGCCCTCTTCAGAGCATGAAGTCATGGAGAAAAATTGATCAAAGTACCAAAGATGCGGTCGTCCAAGCAGTGCTAGTATGAGATTCATCTTGCCATAATGTCTTTATTATTTAATTTGTAATTGGTTAAATTAATTGTTGTACTAATTCTCTTACTATGTTTGTAGGACAAGTTTGTTATCAGCAATGATTTTGATAATGATGAACAAGCTCAACAGATCCTCGATAGGAAGGCATATTTGCTATACAATGATTGGAGGTACAATCTAAAGCAAGAGTTCCTCGAACTTGAGGAAAAAGGTGTTGATGACCCCTATAGTCATCCGCCTAGTGGAGTGAGCTTGGAGGACTAGAAATACCTGATTGATGTTGCTTGGAAAGACAAATCTCACTTGGTAACAAATTAATTAGAAACCCCATTATTGAAATTAATTTATGTGTTAATATGTAAAACTTCTTCACTAATATATGTAAAACTTCTTCACTAAAACTTATTGATGTTGGTTATTTTTTATTTATTTATTTTTTTTTTGTTTCTATTTTTGTAGAAACGCTCTAAGGCTGGTAAAGCAAATAAGGGTATGCTCCCCTATAATCATACAAGTGGATTGCGATCATTTCCTATAACAATGTCGCTTATGGTAAGAAGTTAATTTAGTAATGTAATGGATGATTGATTCTTCTTGATTTTGAATATTACCATGTACTAATTCGTCAATGGAATTTTTCCAAACGTAACAGGTAAATGAGGATAGAGATATAGATTTTCTCGAATTTTATAAGAAAGCACACAAGTCTAAGAAGACGGGAGATTGGATTGACCCCAAATGTGGTGAGCTACATGTGAGTATTGAATGTTGAAACCAAGTGTGTTGCATATCAATTAATAAAGTTGTTTTAAATTCCTTCTCCTATCTTGACTTTATTGTTTTTTTGCCATGACAGGATGATATGGTGAATCTACAAGTGGTAGCCACCGATGTGGGGTTGCCATTGACCCACGAAGAAATATCAAGGCAAGTGCTCGGGGAAAAAAAAAATTACTTGCGTGGATGTGGGATTGGCCCACAACCCTCTTCCATAGCTTCTAGTGCGGCACGAGCACGTGATAAACATATGGAGTCAATGAGAGCGGAACTGGAGGTTCTTCGTGAGCAGCGTCAAAGTGATCATGAGGAGTTGCTGAAGGAGAAAGAGGAGCGCCAAAGAGATCACGAGGAGCTATTAAAGGAGAAAGAGGAGCGCCAAAGAGATCGGGAGGAGCTATTGAAGGAGAAAGAGAAGCGCCAAAGAGATCGGGAGAAAATTATGAGGGAAATAAAGCAGCTGATCAAACAAGTCGATGAAAAAAAAAAGCACGGGAGGCACAACAAGTACAACTCAATCATCTGAAGGACGTGGTGTCACGGCTCACAACCCTCTTGCAGGGTTCAGATGGTCATCCTACTATTCGGTAAACAGAATTTTCCTGACAAGCTACTACAACTTCTACAAAAAAAATATGGATCTTATTGACATAGAATTGTTTTCTAAAGTTGGTATGCAAATTTTTTTTTTTGTGATGTGCTTCGAATAGGTTTTGATGCATAATGTGAGTAGACATTGCAGCAGCCGACCTGGTGTTTTGATACATTACACAAAGAACCGTAATCTGATTTCCATAAGGTAACCACATGATTTCAATAAAATATTAAGTTCCCCAAAATTGGGTACGATGAGCCTATGAATATGAGGCCAGTTACTATATTAGCAATGATATCCAATTGAATGTCATTTCAGATTTAAGACTAATTGAATAAACCAAGTGAAATTGGAATGAATTTTGATTTAGTACAATATAACTAGTACAACTGGACTGGTCTAAAATGCATACAAGCCATTATTGGTTCATAGTGATGAGTTTGAGAGAGAGAAGAGTTGTGAAGATAGAATGGAAATTGAGAGCACTGTAAGGTACAAAAAGGAATTGGTCGGTTTTAGTGTTGACAATAAAACCGAACTGAAAACCGATTTTTTAGAAAACTAAAATGTTATTTGAATTTTTAAGATAGAAACAGTCAGTAGGTTTTAGTCGAGTCAATCGGTATACATTTTCGTAGCGCTTCTATGTACAATGAACCTAGTCATTGTTTCTAGAGTTTTGGGGTATGTTACTGGGCAGCAATTTTAGTTGTTATATACCAAATTGTTTAACAATATCTACATTTCACAAGAATTTTGTTTGCCACGTCTCAATAATTCCACTATGCAATTGTAATTTTTGTTGCCTGAAAAGGATGGTAATGCGTGAAATAAATTAATGAAAGCCTCATTGTGCATTAGGAGTTCTAATTATTTTAATCATGAAATTATTTGGGTTGTAATCAACATAATTCCGGGTCTATTTCCCCGTATTGACCATATTCAATACGTTGGACAATTAGGAGCTTCATTATTGTCATATTGGAAAAATAAATTAGTTCAGTTAATATCCTATGTTAGTTATCGTCTGTGAAAAACGCCATAAACTTAGCTGGAAAAAGGCCTTCGAGGACCGAAAATTGAAAGCAGGCCCCGAACCACTGCGGGGATGGCACGGGTAGCTTCCTCGTGTCAAATAAGACCTGTGGGGACAGACGGGACGTAATTAGCACGTGTACGTTGGGAGTTGGCGTTAAAAATGCCATGAACTTAGCCGAAAAAAGGCCTTCAAGGGCCGAAAATTGAGAGCAGCCCCCGAACCACTATAGGGATGGCACGGGTAGCTTCCTCGTGTCAAATAGGACCTGTGGAAACAGACGGGACATAATTAGCACATGTACGTTGGGAGTTGGCATGAAAAATGCCATAAACTTAGCCGAAAAAAGGCGTTCGAGGGCTGAAAATTGAGAGCAGCCCCCAAACCACTGCGGGGATGGCACAGGTAGCTTCCTCGTGTCAAATAGGACTTGTGGAGATAGATGGGACATAATTAGCACGTGTACGTTAGGAGTTGGCGTGAAAACACCATAAACTTAACCGAAAAACGGCCTTCGAGGGCCGAAAATTGTAAGCAGCCCCCGAACCACTGCAGGGATGGCACGAGTAGCTTCCTCGTGTGAAATAGGACCTGTGGGGATAGACGGGACATAATTAGCACGTGTACATTGGGAGTTGGCGTGAAAAATGCATAAACCTTATAAAAATATATTAAAGCTTACAAATATATATGTTCTCTAAGCATCTCTATATATGTACATTTATGAATAAAATATATATATGTTTACACATTAGACTAAACTTGACTTGGGGTTGACTTGGAAATTTCTTTGCACTTTAAATACAATTTAAAGTGTAAAGAAACTATATTGAAATTTCTAAATTCAAACTATATTTACTTACAATTGACATCCTTGCAATTTGTGTTTTGTAGATGGCTATAATTTTTTGTTTACAATGGAACTAATGGGTGTAATTTTTATTGTGTAGATGGCTTTTGGCATTGACATGTGGATCTTCTATTTTTTTGCCTGGAAAATAATTCACACTTATGCAAAGTTGGGAAGTTTTTTGTCGTCCTATACTTTTTGTGTGGACTGTGGATGCATCGAACATATAATTTTTTGCAGGGTACATAGTATTTTTGGAGCTTGTATTAATTGCTCTGGTGGTATAGAATCAATGAACTGTGGAATTTGGATGCATTGTACATATAATTTCTGGTGGGGTACATAGTATTTTTGGAGCTTGTATTAATGGCTCTAGTGGTATTAATTGCTCTGGAGCTTGTATTAATGGCTTTAGTATTAATTAATATAGATTACTTTTTGTCGTGGTACATATTACCATAGTAATTTGTACCTTGTCAAATGGTCATTACAATGCATAGTATAGTAAAAATGTTGTGTATAGAGGACATTGTTTTGGTAACGTATTTGGAATGTATAACGTTATTATTTGTAATTGGAATATATATAGTTGGTTCGTACATAAATTTACATTATTAATTGTAGTTGGAATATATATAGCAAGTGTTCTTTTTTGTTTCATGGTTGTAAATGAAACATGCATTACGGAATAGGTGATAATATATATAGGTTGTATACGTATTACAGGTTGCGGTGGATACATACAGGTTCGGACAAAATTTAGTAAAATGAAACAAACAAAACAACAATATAAAATGACGCTTTTGGTGACAAAACAATTGGTAGTCAAAAAGAAATAAATCTTTTGGCGACTAAATATTTAGTAGCCAAAATGAATCGAAAACAGTTATGGCGACTAAATGTTTAGTAGCTAAAACTCAAAAGACTTTTGGCGACTAAATATTTAGTAGTCAAAACAAATCGAAAACAGTTATGGCGACTAACTGTTTAGTAGCTAATATCCAAAATATTTTTGGCGGCTAACTTTTTTGTCGCCAAAACATAATAAAAGAATCATAGTCGGCTAAAGATGTAGTAGCTGATGTTGCACTATTGGCGACTAATAATTTCGTCGCCGTAGATATTTTGATTTTTGGCGACAAAAAATTTAGTAGCTTAAGATGTGAGTTAAACGAATTAATGAACCGTTTGGGCGACTAATATGTTAGTCGCTAATGTCAGTTATCAGCGACTAAGCCTCTTTTCGTCGCTAATACCTGTTACTTTTGCCTACTAAAACGTTAGTCGGTATTTTTGTACTACTTTTGGCGACTAAATGTTTTTTAGTCGCTAATACCTTCGGCGACGATGTATCCCGACAAAGCCAGCGATCAAAATATTTAGTCAGCCAAGTGTTTCGGCGACTAAAATCAATACTTTTGGCGACTAATTTTTTAGTCGCCAAAAGTGTATTTTCTTGTAGTGAAGGTAAGAGATCACTGGAAATATGGTAAGTCAGACTTGAGAAAAGGAGAATATGCAAAAGTCAGATTCAACAGAGGAAGAATATGGAGGTCAAGACTCAGAGAGCGACAGTTGAAAGAGGAGTAGATAATGGATAGCCATGGGAAGAGGTGGACAAGATAGAGTTAATCCAAGTTCAACTTTGCAAAATAAAAAGTTTGATTAGATGGAGACCAAATAAAATTGATTAGGAGATGGTTGAGATAGCCTCAATAAGTGAGGGAAAATCAGCCAAATGAAGATCTTTTTATTTATTTATTTTTTATGTTTCTATCTATTCCTCTCTAATCTTTAATGTCATTTTCTTAGTTTCATATTGAATTTTCTACTTTGTTTTTTTTTCTTTTTGAAGTGGAAGTGTTATGCTTATTTTGTGATTAATAGATGTTCAGATCATGTTGGAGTAATGTTTTGTGTTTCTCATATCTGGTATCCTGTTTTTCTCTTGCAAGTTATATCTCAAAAATCATATGGATTTATTATATTTGTACATAGTACATTGTTGACGGAGAGAGATTAGTAAAAGTAAAAATATCAAATAATGCTACAATCTTCAAAGTCCGGTTCTTTCTAATCTATGCTTATGCACAGGTCCATGAGAAAAGAGCATTGGTTCTTGACAAGCACTGCTTGTTATATCCCTTCGAAAAAACTACTATTTGTGATTTTTATTTTATGCAGTGGTAATTTGATAATAAAATGTTGTTTTAGAACATATTTTATTTTAAGATGATAAATTCAGGTCACGAATTCTATATAATATTTGTGTTTGTATATCATTACTGTAAGTATTTGGATACAAATTCTCTCTATTTCATGATTGTAATGGAGGGTTGTAAAAGATCTAATGATTTTTTTCTCAATTGGATTGGTGTCCCTAGCATTACCCAAAATATAAATTCATCTGACTATTTCACAATGTTTACATGATGTAACAGAAATTTTGATTACAATCATGATGTAATAGAGTTTATTTTAAAATAATTACAAAGTTAGAATTTAATTTACAATTAGGTTGGAAATTATCTAAAATTATTATCTTTTGATTCAAATTTAAATCTATAGATGAACCCTACACTACATAAAATTAATTTCCATCATATAATCACCCACCTAAAATTTTTTGAGCAAGTCTGGGACTCCAAATTTTAACTATTATTTTGTCTTTTTAGTGTTGGCAACAACGGTGCAGCAAGAGTTAGATGGTGCAAGGAGGATAACAAAACAATAATGCATTCCTTAAGTTTTTGTTAGACAAAGATCAAGAGAATAAAGGCATAAGTAATACCACTTTACTTATAATTATTTTTAGTACCATGGTAATGTTGAATGGGATTATTATATACTATGGTCTATGTGATTGTTTGATTAGAATGAGATAAAATTTGAAAGAGTATTTTTGACATTTATCTATTGATTAGAATTGGTATTTTGATTTTGTGAAATATTAGAGACAACGAATTGGGTTAGCTCACTTGGCCACCTATGTATACATTTATCTCAGAGGTTGTTTGTTGTATTAGTTATTCCTCCTTATTATGAGATCATACATCATATTGATTGTTGGGTTTTTATAATTGTTGGATTATGA